AAATAGTATACTGTAATACACGCTTCATAATCTATAGTTACAGGTCTTAGGACCATTAACTGAGGACAGCCTTAATTCAAAATAAGTAAAACTTTTTTTATGATTTTAAAAAGTAACACAAACTTTCATCATGTCATTTTTTTTTTAAAATATCATACAAACTTGCAACTTTTAAAAAGTGTTTGTTAAATACAAATCAAGATATTCAGAATCTAATATGAAACTGTTCAAAGTTTAATGTCGTCATCTGGTGGACAGATCCCCAAAAGAGTAAAACATTATTTAACGCATATGGGTGAATTAAAAAATAATGACCATCAAATTGAATATTTTTTTTTTTATAAAATTCAACTACCCATAACACATTTTTTTCATTTGTATCATTATATTGTACATACATACTAGTTAAAGTCCTGAATTTGCAATAGAATAGACAATTGCATAAAAAGTTTCAGGATTTTTATTAGTAATACTTAATATGAAAAAAGGAAACATCACTACATCCTAAAAGACTTATAAAATAAGCAAAAGAAATCATGTTTTTTTATGCTTCAAAATGGTATCAGGGATATAAATGACTAGATCTAAATCTTGATTGAGTTTCTTCTCTTGTATATGTGGGGAAAATTGATTTTTGATTCTTATTTTACATTATTTTTTCAATTCTGGTTTGAACAGTTTTTATATGAAAGAAATATGTAGCAATAAAATTCCCCTAAAATCACATTTTGGTCAATTTAAGTCAATTCTTTAAATCTAAGCCAAAAAGGAATTTTGATATACAAGTTTTCTTACAAAAAATAGAAGATTTTGAAGTGACCCTATGTTACATTATTGTGTTGCACTCCTGACATCTGATATGTATTTTATCTCACATTGTTTTAAAAATTATAACACACAATAACCCGTGATTAGTTTGTAAATCAGTTTGTCATAATGATATTTTTTATCATTTACGGCAAGTTTTGCATATTTTTGCAAATATGCAAGACTTCAAATCATGATTATTTGCAGTGTGTAATATATTTAAATTGCATTTAAAAATATGTGTTAAGTGATGAAAACTATTCTCTGAATTGACTGTAAAATGTCTGTAATCAGTTGATAGACATAATGTTTTGAACATCAAATAGTATCAAACATTTTTTTCAATTCATTTTTTAGTAAAGATAGCTGAATATCATCGATAATTGAAAAACAGTTTTGTTGCACTCCTGATAGCAGTAAAATTTAAAATTAAAACTATAGAACAAAAAAAGTGTTGGCAACTTTAAGTGGTAACGATATTGTGCAATATTAATTGTCCAATACTTCATAATTAAGACACATGAACGTATTTAAACTTTGGATTTATATCTTGAATTATTCCCTATTTATGCCAAAAAACTAGCTAAAATATATATTTAGAAGCTAAAGTATATTTTATAATATATTTTTTTTATCACAGGACAAACACTAAGCAACTGAGGTCAACCAGAGACATTCTACTCATCAATTCATATTCTAACATATTTGTTGCACTCCTGATAAGGAGCATGGGAGTCTTTAAAGTAGAATTGTGATGTGAAAATTACATCATAACTTCTTCTGTTGTTTCAGTCAAGTTGGGATTGAATTACTTGAATTTTATAACAATTTTTCAGTGTGTTTATTTTTTACATTCATAAAAAATCAAAGAAAAGATAAAAAACACATCTGAATTGATAAAATTGAAAAAGAGGATTTTAATAACAAAAACTCCAACAATTTAGTACTAAATTATTCAAATAGATCATTATAGATTAAAGAATATATCTTAGCATGAGTAGAAGTCTTTTCATTATGTAACTTGAATCTTTGAAAAAATGTGTTACACTCCTGACCATAGAAATGTAGATCTGAAACACAGACAGACCCTTTAATTGATAAATATTTTTGGTAAAAATGTTCCTTGTGTCTTTCTTTTCCAAAATAAAAATCAGAGAATCATATACTGATAAAAGTTTTTCCATGCTGGGGAGCAAAAAATTAAATGTTGCACTCCTGACATTATTGGGTATGCACAGATACTTGACTCTCATTAATGCTGCTTATAATTTATATAACATTTTTAAGTTTTAAATTGTATATCAGTTATCGTTTTACACTTCGAAAATTCTTTTTGGACTTAATTGTCTTTCAGATTTTTAAAATCGCTGATTTTTTGGCAACAATACATTTTTTTCTGTTGCACTCCTGACATGGTATGACATTTTTTTCAACATCAGCCATGCCCACAACTTGGTCACACAAAAGTTGCTACAGTCTACAAGTAAAGCCCAATACGTTGAATATTATCAGAAAAGTCTTTATTTCCAACACAAGCCATTATTATTTATTTCACAGATCTTCAAAAAATATTGAATTTTCAAAATGTCACAAAAAGGTGTTGCACTCCTGACATTTTAGCATCATTTTGGGACATAACTTTTTTGTGAATTGAGATATCAATGAGATATTTGGCAGGTGTTTAGACACTATCCAAAGACATATGCTGAGACATAGAAATTTATTCCCTTTGCCTGCATTTTTAGTGCAGGTTGATAAATATGACTTTGGTCATTTTTATTAATTCACCCATATACAATGTATTTTGATTTTTAATCAATTGTTTTAAAATCACTGTTACCTCTCCATCTTCAGTCATATGACAGGTATTCCCTTCAGTATATATGACCAACAACTCTTGCAGCAACCGTTAAACAACTGTTGCTGCAACGGTTGTTCGATATATAACTAGACAGTGATAAGAAGTCTATAACATTATTTCCAAAGTATTTTGGCATAATTCTACCCCCTATATGCTAGATAAATTATGTCAACTTGCGGAAGAAGTATGTAAACAAGATATTATGTTTACATGCAAGGTAACAAGTACGTATGCAAGTTACCAATCTCTTTTTAGAGAACACGGTTTTTAGTTTGGGTTAATTTACATACTAGTGCCAGTATCTGACAAGCAAAGCTGAATGTCAACATATTTTATCACAGTTATTAATGAATACAAGAAAATATCCAATCAACCAAACAAAAGGATAACTTTGAAGTAAAGAATTTGTGATACCTCGTTTGTGGTTTTTCAAAGTACTGCTGATGGACCATTTGAGACTAATAAATCCCTACTAATTTAATAAGAACAGAATTACATAAATTAGTCTTTAAAAGCAGATCTCGGAGCAAAGACTCAAACTTTAAGACTGTATTTATAGAAAGAATCCAGACCAGGATTCAACCACAGATACCAAACAGGAAAATTTTAAAATTCGCTCTGTTATTGTTAACTCCATGGCCGACAACCAAAAATATATTACAGCGCATAATCTTAAATGATAACATGGTCATCCTTAATTATTCAACCCAGGGCTATGCAAAAAGCATAACTGTACACGTAATAACTTTGAGATATAATTCTACAAAAAGAAATTAAGATCTTTTTAAAACACGTGAAAAGAATGTGACCGTTTTTAATGTAAAGAGAAAACGAATTTCTGACATTAAAATTTTTCTTTCGAATGTAATGACGTGTTCCAGAGGCAAAGAGGAAAAACTCCCAAAACTCTTCTTGTCTAAAATCATCTCTATTGAATCAAGGGAAATTATTTACAAATATATTAAATAATAGAAAATATTAATTAATTTAATGGAATATTTAGCGTTTTTTTTTTGTGACGAACAGGCTTATCTTGAGGGCTAAATGGTACTATTATATTTTTAATTTGAAATGTAGAGGCCTACAGCTGATCGGTATTGCACTTGTTTTGTGTTCTGTGTATATATATATTTAGGTGTTAAGTGCTTGATTCAGTAAAAAGTTTATAGTTAAATTAAAATTATTACACGTATTTTCTATCCTTGATGGTAAAATGTCAATTGATAAAGAAAACTTTTTTATGCAAAGTTGTGTCTACCAAATGGATGAAATATAAAATAACGAATAGTGATCAAGCTCAAAAGTTCATTGAAACAATACAAATTTGGAACAAAGCAAACACGGACCTCCAAAAACATCAGAGGTGGGAACAGTTGCCATGGAGGACTAAGCATCCCTTGTCGACTGGTCACATCCGCCGTCTGCTCCTTGTCAGGATCGGAAAATAACGGGAAAATCCATAGACAATTTAGTGTGTAAATAATGGTCTAAAAATTAGAATGAAAAACATCAGTCAGCATTCGACTTAATGATAGATTGTATTTGCTCAAAGGGTCATTGTATTGAGCATAGTATTTGCAAAATGTAGACTTCAAATGAGACTGTTGATATTTTTGTTTCATTAATTTATTTGTCAATAGCTTGCTTCGTTTCAGAAATCGTCTGTACTTAGAGCATGCTCTTGCGTTTCGAATCAACTGGGAGACATAAACTTCTATGCAGGTGTTAATGGTATATTGCTACATGAATAAGGGAAGTTAGCGATAGAAAAATTGAAGTCATCACGTTTATCATAAAGTTTTGTTGTTAGGTTACCATTAACGTCTTTTTCTAGTAAAATATCCAAATATGAAACAGGTGTGTCAGACTCTGCGATTTTTTTTTTCGAGTTCAGAGGGATACTGTAGAATCGTCATTGTTCGTGGGGGACCAATATTCGTGGATTTCGTGGGTCACACTTGCCCACGAATTAACATCCCCACGAACGTTTATTTTCTAAACATGTTGAATCTACCGTATAAACTAGTAACCCACGAAATTACGTCCCGACGAACAAGTAAAATTTTGCTTCCCCACGAACATTGACCCCCACGATCGAATTAAAATGATTCCACAAATGGAAATAGATATTATTAATTAATAAAACGTCATTGATATATCTAAATGTTAAAATGAAGGTCACACCAAGACATTTTTTTCATGTAGAAATTTTTTAATAAATTCTGCTTCATATGAATACAAAAATTTGTCTGCTAATAACTGGGCGCAATTGGTACCCATGAGAATTCCAACAGAATGCTGGAAGACTTGATCTCCAAAAACTACATAGATATTGTCAATCAGAAACTCAAGCATCTTTTTAATATGAACTTCAGAGTGCTTATGTGTACAATCAGAATGTGTTTAACAAAATAATTTTGCAAATAACCAATGACAAGGTAAGTGAATTTATTGAAAAGCAGCTGTCTATGATGTCAAAAAAGCCTGGACTTTAATTTATCGTGGGGAATGGTTGTATTATGTGTTGAAAAGTCGTTTTGATGATATTGATTTTGATAAAAATTTTGTGATTTCAAATCTACTAAAAGTTCTTTGGAGTTTTTAAGTATCCACATCCTACAAGGTTGAAAAATAAAGTAAGGAAAATAATTGGTTTTTAGAAATTAACTTATCATATTAAATGCGCAATAAATAAACACGTTCGTTTTATGAAGTTGTAAGTGGCTTATCAAAAAATTCTATAAACGACTTTTACACTACTGACACAACTGCCATCAACCAAAGTAGCTTTAAGTAACTCTTTAAGTCCCTTGCAGATTTCAGGCATCATAATCTTTGATTAATCAACATAAACGAAGAAAAATGTACTTGTCGAAAAGGTATAAAAGCTAAAGCACATATCTATATAACAATGCATGATTGCACTTTAAAGAAGTTCTCTTTTCTATTCAAATGTTTCTTCTATAGGTTCAATTTCCCCCATTGTCTCATATACATCCTCTACATGAGATTCCGGCCCGCTGGGATCTGATTCACTGATAAGTAACTTGACGACTGGTCTGAAAGTAAGAAAAGAATAAGAGATGAGTATGAATCAAACAATTAAACAAGTGGATGGAAAATAAATTGAAATCTTCAATAGGCTATACAGATAAAACATTTTGTTTTGTGTAAGAGCGACTCCAAAGACCAGGATTGTCGCATTTTGTACTAATCTATTATTACTTAAAACTTGAGATGGAAAGCTTCAGTTGAAATTCTGTAAATACCTCGGGAGAACACAGTTCAAAAATTAATGATAAGGAAAATAAAATACTTTATTCCTATAACTCTACGAATATACATCTAAATAGGAAGATGAAAAATTATGTTGTCTATATTAAAAACTGCCAAACAAATTTCATATTGTATACAAATTCATTATTGATTTCTATGTTTTTTTTAACACAAATATATTTCATACAGTCCAAATTAATAAGCGTCATGTACGCATCCTAGATGTTACACACTCTGAGGAAGGAATTCTATTGAATTTAACAATATTTGGCTTTGGGTAGAAACTATTGATATACTAGTATATTCTGAACTTGCTTCAGCTGGTCTTTATGAATGCATTCAAAACTATGATGAAGTACATCAATAATTTAAGTGGGATAGTACATATTATACGTAGCCTTTTTTTCTCCAGGAATCATAATTGAAAATGTTTGTTCTAACTATGCACAGAAAAATCCCGTGAAAGATAAAAAAAATGCATTTCTACTTTCTGTGAATCTTCGTGTTACTCATAGATAAAGTATAGACATTGCTTTTTCAATTCAAAGAGCAATCATTGGTGTTTATAAGTTACTAGTTATCAAAATCTACCTAATGCGCTGAATACCATAATGTGTTGCATCTTAATGTCAAAACTACGTTTATATATGTACGGAACGTTCTTGTCCTTTATTCTATTCAAGATTCATGATTTGGCAATATTTGGTCAAATGTTGAAACTGAATTCTAGCTTTGCTTATTTTTTCCGAATGTTAAAATGTCTAAAACTTCAACAGGTGAGGGGGTAAGATTCTTTAAAAAAAAACCAAGATGTGTTTGTGAAACACTGATGCCCCCATATGGCAGCTCATGGCGAAGATTAAAGTTTCTCAAATGCAAGTCAAACTCCAAGGTCAAGAGTTCAAAAATGTTGGTACCCAAAGGAAGGCCTTGTCGCAAGAAATACACCTGTGAAATATGAAAGCCCAAGCCCCGACCGTTCAAGTTCAAAGGATCAAAATTGTTAGTACCCAAGGAATGTATAGACAAAGAATACACCTGTGAAATATGAAAGCCCTAGCACCAACTGTTCAAAAGTTAGGACAAAGGTTTAAGTTTTTCAAAAGTGGGTCAAACGTCAATGTTAAGGTCATAGAATAAAAATTATTGGTACCCAAGGGAAGGATATTTCACAAAGAATTTACCTGTGGAATATGAAAGCGCTAGTTCCAACCATTCAAAACTTATTGACACCTGTGACATATGAAAGCCCTAGCACCAACCGTTCAAGTCAAAGAGTCAAAATTTTTAGTACCCAAGGAAGATCTTGACACAAAGAATACCCCTGTGATTTATGAAAGCCCTGGCATCAACTGTTCAAAAGTGATGACAGAGGTCAAAAGTGGGTCAAAATCCAAAGTCAAGAGATCAATATGTTGGTACCGAAAGAAAAGTCTCTTAACAAGAAATACACATGTGAAGTATGAAAGCTATACAAAAAAAATGTAGCTCCAACCAATCAAAAGTTATGGGCAAGGTTAAAGTTTGGTAAAGTTATGGCCACGGTTAAAGTTTGGTCAAATTTTACAAAAGTGGGTCAATCTCCAAGGTCAAGAGATCAAATATGTTGGTACCGAAAGAAAAGTCTTTTAACCAGAAAACACATGTGAAGTATGAAAGGCATACCAAAAAAATATAGCTCCAACCAGTCAAAAGTTATGGGCAAGGTTAAAGTTTTATTTCCGGACAAATAGACAAACAGACAGACGGACAGAGCAAAAACTATATGCCCCCGAATCTTCAATTACGGGGGCATAAGAAACTTCTATGAGCTATTAACGTGTTCGGAATTAAATGTAATTTTAACAATATACTTTATTATTAAGAAACGAAAAGGGCATATTCTAAAGGACTCTTTCCATAATAAAATGTTCAAAAGTCAAATTATCGAAGTAAATAAGTTCCAATAGCTTCAGGATTACAACAGGAAAGGTTTTCAAAACAGGCAACAAACCAAAAAGAATGGGTTATGGTTAGAATGGTTTGAAACACAGTTGGAATGGAAACTGCAAAAGGAAATTATATTTTATCAAGAATTTAATTTTCAAAATAATGCACGTATTGTGCACGTGTATCACGTAAGCTTTGAATTTACCTGGAATTTATTTGGAAAGAAATACAAGATTTACAACATGAAAACTTTCATTTTGTAAATTTTGCATAAATTTCCTCCACGAAGTAAATTCAAATGTACAACAGTTCAATGTTTTGATTTTTTCAGGTTTTGTAATTGATCATTCTACAACCATTACACACACGCACAAAAATATTCCGTAGAATAGTAAAATATACATCAACCTTCCCATTATCAGTTATATAAAAATACCAATGTTATATATAAAGTAATACTTGGTATCCGAATGTTGTTCTTCCTGTAGAAGAGGTGATGTCACATCCGGTTTTGATAGAGTATGAGGTTCCATATAGCCATCTTCGCCTTCGTTTGGGGGTAAAGGAAGTTGTCTATTTTGGTTTTTACTGGGTGGTGAAAAATTGATGATATAAGGATTGCTCTGACGTGCGTTTTCTTCTAAGGTTTCTCGCGAGGGGAGACCATTTACTGTTTCGGAGTCGACATTGGCTTTTCTCGAAATATTGCTGCGCCGACGCCTGTAAACCATGAAAATATAAAATATACTATGATTTCGCTTTCAACGAAAGCAGAGGGTAGTTAAAATCAATATCCCCTACTTTCAGAGAACTAGCGAATAAATGGCGGGTTTGCTAGGAGACACGTGTACCTTATTATATAAAAAGCAACTCCAGTCACTACAACTCCGAGAGTGAGGAGAGCAAAGACGGCCCCCAGAATGGCTCCCAGAGAACTGGATCTTTCCTCCGATACATCTTTGCTTCCTACAACTGACAAAAGAAAAATGTAATTACATTTATGAATTAAGGCTATAACCATGTCTTTTTTTATTTATTATTATAACTTTTATCTTGTAAAAAAATATTGGAAATAGTAAAGGATTTGTCATCTAACTGGAGCCAAAACAGCCCATTTTCACCCAATTTGCTATTTCAATTCACGGTAACAACCCATCAAATACTGGCAAATTTAGAAAGCCCTCCATCTCTGATTCTCTGACCTGGGTAACATTTATTGACAATTCATTTAAACGCTCTTGATATTACAATGTATTCATTTTTTTTTAAATCTCATATCTTACTGGTTGAAGCTGTGGCCAGTGGGAAGGAGGCATTGTGATACAGTCAAGTTTGCATATGCATGCATCAATTTACTCATTCATCATTTAACTTTACAATGAAGAGGTCACATTCATTTTGTTTCCTCCGAAAAAAAACCTTCCACTCCCAAATTTTCATAAGGATCATTTTTTTTTTCAAATCAGCAATATTAAACTATCTATATTCTCTTTCGACGGAAATAACCTTACCAGCTTTAACACATTGTTTCCATTGTGATTCCTTTTTGCAGACGATACACTCACTATCTGATATATTGCAGGATATGCATTTTTCTGGACACTCGTTTTCACAACTAGCCCCAGGAAAATATCCTTCATCACAGCTGGAGACGAACTCCTCGCACCACATTCCCTGAAATCCTAGCTGGCATTCCCCACAGCCGCTGTCCGCGTTACAACCCAGAGAGGGGCTACATCTGATGGGACACATCTCCTTACAATTTTCCCCAAAGTAACCCGTGGTACATCTATCACAACTGCCACTCTCCTGCATGCAGGTAGAACAGACTTCGGGACACGGTTTCTTGCACGTTTGTCCAAAGAATCCATCTTTGCAAAATGTGCAGATGACTTTACCTTTGACTTTTCTACATGTTTCACAATTTGGGAGATTATGACTGGTACAGCTTCTCCATTTATCTCGCTTGTTGTGGCTCTTCTTCCGAGAAGCCTCCCATCTGGCTTTATATGTACCTAAAACCGAAAAAATATGATATTTTTTTCATTCTTTTTTATTTTATTCGGTATAAAAAAATACATTTCTTGGCAACATCAAATAGCCATAAAGCCAACAAGTTGCTCTAGTAAACAAAATACTAGTAGTGTATACATATGCAGTATAAACGTTTCAGAGCCTTTTGCATACATACATTCTTTGAAAATTTTAATATTTAAACAAAAAAATTACTTTTAGCTTTCTTACCGCTATAATCCATTTTGACATGAATTGTGAAATTCAAGGGCACCAATTTGAAAGATATTTCCTTAAATGAAATGACACTTCCTCTTATAGTATTCTGTGGGACCACAGCTACAAGATTTGAGTATTTGAAGTTGGTGTTGGCAGTTTTTCGTGGTGGTATGATGAAATCAGGCACAGTGAGCGAGTCGTTCTTAAGCAAAACAAAACCCATGAAATCTCCTTTTTCGATAATGACCGGTTCCATGTTGTCATCACTTCCTTGGTTAATACGGTCTAAAAAGGTGAGGAGTTTGTGGGTACCGTAATTTGGGATCCATATTCCGAACTGTATGTTATATTCAGGTTTGGCGCCAATTGTCCGCCATCCAATCAAATGTCCATCACACGGAAACGCTGCTATCTTTTCGTAAATCGAAAGTCCCGTACCATAGATCGCGAGACTTGGCAAACTCACTGTTTCTGGACATTCTGTACTATCTAAAGAAAGAACTTGTATAAATATATATATATATATATTTTTCAAATATGGGAGTGCTATTTACATGAATTCCTAATATTAATTCATATTTCTTTCTTAATTGTTTCACTTACTGGCATCCGTTATACAGAGTAAAAGTCCTATAACACACCACAAAATATCCATAGTCCAATCTCTTTATAAGCATTACTTAAAATATTAATTTTTGATCAAATCCCTCAGTATCCCCATGTCTCACTTTTCGTTCGTTCGCCCTATTGATTACATTTTGAGAACAAAAAAACCCCTACTTCCTGTCTGTGCTATCAAGAAACATTATCAGTGATACGATAACGTCTACCTGTAAATTTTTCATTGTGTAAATCGACATATCGGTAAGCCTTTCTCAAATGAGTTATTTTGTTTGTTTGTTTGTTTGTTGTTTAACGTCCCTCTCGAGAATTTTTCACTCATATGGAGACGCCACCACTTGCCGATGGAGGGCTACAAAGGACAAGATAGGCTAAGACCTCTTTTTGGCCCCTGGTTTGGGGTGTCTTTTAGAATGATGCAACAGTTTTCCAATAAAAACCTGTTGTCACCCCTGTCACAAAATTTTTTTCCCTCAAATTTTTCCCCCTCAAATTTTCATCGATTTTATAGCATATTTTGTTTCAGAAAACATAAAGCACAAGCTTTCCTATCTACCAAATTCATATATTTCATACATTAGTATCAGATGCATCTTGTGTTTAAGAATCTCTGATAGGCAAGCTTGTGCTCTATGTTTCCCGAAGTGAAAAGTATCTCAAATTTGAGGACATGCCATCATAATTGAGAAAATTCGGGAAAATGTCCAACTTCTGCACCCTCTTGTGCCCTCCTTGAAGGCTTTGAATCAAAATTAGTGCTGGTTTTAAAACAAGCATCATTTTAAGTTCTTATCTACAAACTATCACAATTTTAACTGTGTTCTGATTTTAACATCAAATAAGTGGCCAGATTCGACCGTTACCATACCTTGTCCTTTGACCTATACTCGGCACTCAGAGCCATTGAGCAGTGAGGGATCTTTTTCGTGCCAGCATCTACTGCGACACAGGACCTCGGTTTATACGGTCTCATCCGATGGACCGGTCTCCACGTCCCGCAGTGGGATTCGAATCTGCGATGTAAGGATCAACTCCTTACTCCACGACTCTAGAGCAGACGCTCTAAATATATATATATATATATATATATATATCTATATCTATATCTATATATATATATATATATGCACGCATTTTGCATCGCACTTGAGACATAATATTTTTTTAAGTTAATGGTTGATTGATTGATTGTATGTTATTTTACGTCACGTTTGAGAATTTTCACTCATGAAGGGCTTCAAATTTAGACCTTTACTCGGCACTCAGGGCCATTGAGCAGTGAGGGTTCGTTAGCGTACCAACGCCTACCGTGACATGTGGCCTCTGTTTTTAAGGTCTCATCCGAAGGACCTGCAACTTTCACATCAAAGTGCTGAGCGATTGGCGAAGGAACAGTTGCTTTCTATTTTTTATCGAATTAGGTCAGTCACGGCCGTGATTCGAACACACGACCTTCCGATCTCGGAGTGAGCGCTCTACCGACTGAGCTACTGTGACGGCGTTAATGGAAAACTATGAAATTCTACTGGATATCATGTCTCCAAACAGATTCTATTCGCAAGAGCGCGATCAAACCATAATACAGGGTTCTAACAAATAAGTTGATGTTACAGGGGTTTCAGCACTTTCGTGTAATGTCAGCATTTCACAGATTCTATGGTCGTTTTAATCAGCGCAAGCACAACCAATCGCTGTGTTGAATTTCGACTGATATGTTTCATAAGAGTTGATATGCCATTGCTTTCATGTTTACTTTGACTAGGGATTCACCGTTTGCCTGATCAACAGAGGGGGCTCACAGCGGATGTACACAAATGTACATGGGATCTTTACTGAAACAAGAAAAACGATGCTGACCATGATATAGGATGTAAAATGTGAAAATAACGGGCAGTGATCAATCTCATAAATCCGGTAAAAACAACGAATCGTAAACAGGGCAAAAAGCACAGACCCCTGGATCAGATGATGGGATCAGGTGCCTTGGAAGATAAAGCATCCCGTGTTGACCGGCCACATCCGCAATGAGTGTTATATATTGATTAGGTATACGGAGTACTCCGTAGTCAAATTAAGTATAAAAGTAATGACCTAACAAAAGGTATCTAATATGTCAGACAGAATACACCCAGCACTAGACTGTATTTGCATACAATGCCATTATAACGACCGTAGAATTTGCGAAAAGCTGACTTAAAACGGGGTTGTTAAAATCCTTGTAACATCAACATTTGTTTGTAACTTGCCTCGGTTTAAATAATTGATCGTACTCAGAGCTTGCTTTTGAATATCGAATCAGTTGGGAGACATAAACACCATTTGCAGGTGATGTTGGAATATTACCACCTAACTAAGCGAAGTTGACGATGGAAAATTTAAAGTCATCCCGTTTGTCATACAGTTTATTTATTAGTTGGATATTATTGTCTATAGTCAGTAAAACATCCAAATATGAAACAGGTATGGCAGACTCTGTAGTGTCTATGATGTCAAAAAGGCTGCTCTTTAATTTATCATGAGGAATAGTTGTATAAAGCGTATAAAAGTAATGTATTTTTATGCTTCTGATGTTTGAAAAGTTTTTTAGATTTTAAATTTTCCAAAATTTCTTTGGAGTTTTTTTTTTAGAATCCATATTTGGTTTAGACCACTTCTTGAATATGAAGTTGCACAATACGTCTGAAATTTCTCCTTCACAGCAGTTAATATTCTGCTGAGAAGTAAGGATAGGGACTTGGTTGAACATTTACTGGACCCTGCAATATATCCTTGTAAGGATTTTTATTAAGTTTTGGAATCCAGTATAGGTACGGTAAATCAAACTCACTTCCATTGACTGGAATGATAATAAAAAAAATTTAAAACTGAAAGATTACTTTGAAGAATTTCATCGTCTGAATGGGAACTTTGAGTATAGGTTTGATTACCAGATGTGGAATTAAAACAGAGTTCTTCTAAATTGCAGTTGAAATAATGAGTCTTACAAAGACTATATTGTTACAAGCATTTCAGCTGGAACCAAAACATATTTTTCATGTAGTCTTTCTAATTCTTTTATCACTTCCCGTCTACTGAAAACGGAAGCAAGATAGTTCGCATTATGCCCTTTTTCAATATATATCTAAAACGCTTTATCCATTCTGACAGAGTATCAATGTCTTCCTCTTTACATTTATTCCATCGTCTAGCATACTCCTCGACGGAATTCATAACAGAAATGAAGTTCTGTCGCCATTTGAAAGATCTGGGCTCCCTGAGCATTTTAATATGATAGCTTTTAGATTGACATTTTGAAGTATACTTACATCACTAGCGATGATGTGTCCAGCTGAACAACACTTAGGAGAAATTTGATTTTGATGGTCAGTATCTACGCAATGTAGAGTTTGTTTATAATTGAAAATTTTGGAGGCAACAGTAGAGGAATATCTGAAGAAATGCGGGGTGTAGACTTCAACTTGAAATATGGTGGAATACAAGACTGAATTCTTTTTTGATTAAGAATGTTGCTAATGCTGGTTATGTTTACAGCGTCTATACCTTATTAGCAAATTTAGGCTTTAGAATCAGTTGATTAGGAATTACTATCTTCCATAGCAAGTGGCGGTTTAAAGAGATCGTGTTGGGCAACATCCATAATAATAAACATTAGTCTGTATTCTGTTGTTGAATCTAAGAATGGATTTTAGCTTTCTAGAAAAATCCATATAAACGTTTCAGAAACAGAGTAAGGTTTAGTACGAATGTCAAATGAAACATCGTGTATATATGGCTTACTGTGAACACTGCAGACAATGCTTCCAAAGACCCATATCGCGAGAAATACAGACTATATCTCCAAGAAGGACGTAGTCCTCGTCCTTAAGACAGTAAAAATAGTTCCAAACATAATGCTAGTCATGCTGTGGGAAATAGGGAAGTGTACCTCAAAATAGTCATTAAGGTCAGACGACACGTTCCTCAAAAATATATAATTTTCCCCAAGAATTTGTTATAGAAGTATAGCTACTTAAACAAGTTTCCTCACCAAAAATTGAGGTACCTTACCAGGCATTTGGGCAAGATACCAGAGGGTGATATTCCTTATAAAATCCTTGTGGGTAATCTTTTGAATTGCCAGTTTCAAAATTTTTGGTGTACTTATATTTTTAAATAAATATTGAAAACAATTTAGAAATCACAACAAAATGACAATATAAATAATTTTTTATATAATACCAAGATATATGAAACATATATTTGAGGAACGTGTCGTCTGACCTTTACTGTGATACAAACACGTACTGAGTAGTTGGTGAAAAAGAAAGCTGCAAAAGTCCCAAATCAGTCTCGGCCAGTTTTGGAATACATTTACATTTATTATTATTATAACTACATTTACAAACTTCCATTCTTTTATATACAATGACTGCTGTAATCTAGCTACCATATGCTTGTGCCAACCCAATAATAGCCTCTGATGACCTTTTTTTTTTTTCTTTTTTTTTTTTTTTTTTGCTTGTCAGGGAATTTTTGGTAGTTGATAGTGCCCCCCAACTGAAAATGTCCTGGGGCCATGAATTCAAAGATAAGATTATTTCTAGACCCAAAAGCTGTACAGGAGCCTCGAAAATGCTTGAATTTAGGGTTTTCAGAAAATCACAGTTTTGGAAGAAGCACTCTTGCTCATTATAACCATGCACTTAGTTTCTCTGGTAAATAGCAGATATTTTCAAAGAATTAATTGCATTTTCACTATGCAATTAACACAGCAACACCCTAACACAAGAACCCCTGACCCTTGGGCCATGATTTTTTTTTAACTATTTTGAAAGAGGCACTTGCTCATCATAAACCAATGATGCCATAGTTTGCCTAATACCCAGGAGCAGATAAGAATTCCAAAGAATTAATGCATTATCATATATGATCAATACAGCCCTGCTCTAACACCAGAGCCCCTGACTAAGGGACTATGAATTTCACAATTTTGGAAGAGGCACCTTTGCTCGTCATAACCATGCACTTAGTTTGTCTTTTTAATACACAGGAGCAGAGAAGATTTTCAATGAATTAATGCATTTTCATTTTATGATCAATAGAGGAACCCCCTAATACCAGAACCCCTGACAGTGGAATCACA